GTTATGAAGAAAGATATCTTGAATTAATCCAACAAGCTTGGTATTCATTAAACACAAGTTCATATACTGCTATGAAAGCAATACAATGGTTTGCTTTTGGAGATGATGATACTATTTGGTTCTTAAACAATCTTTTGCAGACATTACAACAATATAATGTATCTAATTCGATCTATTTAGGTAATATTTCTGATAAATTAGGAGCTGTTCAATATCATGGAACTTATTACGCTTATGGAGGTGGTGGTTTTGTTTTAAGTCGACCTTTAGCATTACGAGCAGTACAACATAATAAAGATTGTCAACGATTTACAAACATGTGTGGTGGTGACGAGATGATTGGTAAGTGTATTACTGAAGTATTAAAAATAAATTTGACACGCAACAATCATTTTCATCAAATGGACCATGACGGAGATATGGACGGCTATTTGGAAAGTGGCATAGAAGGACTCGTTTCTTTACATCATATTTTCTCTTATTGGGAACCATTTCCTGAAGAATACACTACCCATCCGCACGAGACAATGTATCTTTTGAAACTTGCTTATCAAACATTTGGTAATCATTTTTTGAAAAGATACGTCTGGCTGGATTGTCGAACTAATCGAACGTTTTTATTGACAATGGGATATTCATTTAGTTTATTTAATCGAATATTAACATATGAAGAACTAATGAAAGTGGAAAAGACATGGTGGTGTTGTAGTGAGTTCGTCGGTAGAGAAACAAGACCAAAAGAAAAGAATAAAATGACTTGGTATTTTCGAGCTGTAACAAATGAAACTAAGAACATTGTGAGTGGATATGGAGCAGTTTATGAAAACAAACAGAAAGATAGAAATGTTCAGATTCCTAGGATAGAAATTATTTTAACAAATTGAATGAACCAAAACTATGCGTTTTTCATAACATCAAATAAATATAGTGTCTTCAACAACAGATTCTACATCTATCAAGGCTGTTAAGCACTAATGAAGACAAATCAACAAGAGTTACTTTAATTCATTTTCTACTTTCATAAGCAACATTCAAAAAGGTTTAACTAGATATTAATTATATTACGGCTTTGTTCTAAGAAGAAATACTTCTTTCATTTCTTTATTGAAAAGAAAATAATATTTATTTGAATTGAAATGTAGAGGAAACAGAAGTAATTAATAAATTTATTTATATAACCATTCATTCAATATTTCTTTAGTGTTCACAAGTTTATGTGAAATAAACAGTTACTTCATTAACAGGAAAAATTTTATCGTCGACTGGTGCCTTTTCTCACTGTTGTAGTTTCTCAATAATCACATATAGCTGCAAATTATTGAATATTTTCAATATCAATTTTCCATGAGAGGGTCATCTTTTTATCTTTCATCTATACAAATAAAGTAAAATATATATCCAGCCATTATTATGCACTTATCAACAGCTTCAGGTTGTACACGATGAGATATTGTTGTCGAATCTGATAAAGCATTCAAAGTTTGAGTGATATGATAATTGCAATATCCAATATAGGATAGATCTTGAGCAATTGTTTCGAAACCATCTCTACCATTAAATTTCAAAATTGTTTTATATGAAAAACATATTTAAAAAAAAAGGAATAAAATTGTCTCTTTCATCTTGAATGCGATTGAATTCATATTTGTATTCTGCTCATAGCCGTCAATACATATAGTACGTATATTTAAAATCGAATTTAACTCCTTGTGAGCCTTTACTAAGTCAGAAACCAAAAATGGACATATCAGCGACTCGTTTTTGTCTAACTAATTTAGAGACATTGCAAGATCTGGAGAATGCTAACTCAAAGTATTTCAATGCATTAATAGACATACCAAGTGATGCCTACTGAACTATCCTTTTAAAAATTTTCATGTTCACTGTTTGCTATTCAATTTATGGCTACGATTGCTTGTTGAAATGATAAATGTGCTTGCAGAAAAACATTACTCAGTATGCATAATAAATGGAGTTATAAAACTACAGGACAGTCTACACACTGTTGATTGACATTGTTTATTTGCATATGAATTGAGAAAACGAAATCTTTTATCTTGATGATACTCTTCAGAAAATGTCTGATTGCATCTTCTTTTTCTGCATGCTTATCTTTTTAATAAGATCATTAAAATAGATCATAAAAAGAGCAAAATATTAGAGCAAATAATGCGCGATGACCTAGTGCTTTGACAACTTTTCCAAGGAATATAGAATGAAGTCTGTTTAAAATAATACGAAACTGATATTGTTTAAGTCTTTCATCAATAATTATTGCAGATTAAATACAATACACTTTGTCTTCATAAAAGCATGAACTAGATAAATTTATTTTAATCTGAGGACCAAAACAATTCTGGGCTATTTTATTTTATTTTCATTTTCTTTCTTTTTTTCAATTAAAGACCGAAATATAAGGTAATTACTGTAGAAAAAACACCTGTTTTTCTAATAGGGTAAGCTTTGTAAAACCTCCAGGAAGTCAACAGAGAGATGTCTTTTTGAAATATCAAGGAGTCTCAGCACCTAGTTAGAAATGGAAATCAAATGGTCGCTTATTGCTTGTACGCACGATTCAAAAAGACGTCATTACTAAAACAGGAGTGTTTGAAGTTTGTTTATTTGAAAGAGAAGTACTATACATTGTTGATCAACAGCAATAATTTGACTTGAAAAAGTCTAGTGAGCCAATTGCTTCTATTTATTAATACCATACTTCTTTTATTCCACTGAGTCATATAAAAGAAGGAACAAGGTATTTGAATTGACCAGAACACTCCAAATCTCTTATTGGCTTTTTGTTTCTTGAGTCATGATACATCATCTCATGTCAATAAATTTTAACTACGATGTACTTTGAATATATGTTATTTTCTTGATACTGCTTGTTCCATATCATTACTTCATGTCTAAGTACATTAACGAATGACGAAGAGAGAGCTTTCATATTTCGTTTTTATTTATAAGAAAAAAAAGAAAAAAAAAATACATTGCTAATTGATACAACTCATAAGTACCTTCTAATTAGGTTATAATAGGAGAAATCTAAATGAAGGATAATCTAAAGTGAGGAAAATTTATTCTGTAAGTTCTCTACTGGTC